TGACCTATAATGTTGAAATTGGTAACTTTTTTTGAGAGCATTTCTTGGACTTGAAATATGAAGATGAGTTGTATGAAATGTCTTTCTCTTCAAAATGAGCTTTGGATGGAATTTTTCTGATAATCCATGTGAAAGTTATGCCCTGGTCAATTTACAGTTGACTTTTTCAACTGTCCAAATATGGAAACTTTTGCATCTTGATGATTTTTGAGCCAAGATTTGAGAATCATGATCAAGCATTGATCAAATGATGTTTGTGGCTTCAAAATGAGATGTTGACCAAAAATTTGAACTTTTGACTGTCAAATGACCATTTTGCCCCTACAGTTGACTGTAGTGCAATTAGGTTTTTTGACTGTGCAATTTTGTGCTGAAAGTCTTGAAACTTGATATGAGGATGCTTGACCATGTTTATAGGCATGTGGGACTTGATTGGACCCTTGGAAACTTCATTTACTTTGTCAGAACCAAAACCCTAATTTTGACTGTTAGGAGGCCCTTGAACTGTGCAACCCTTGGGGAATTCTGAAGCTTTGACTTGGCAAATCTTGAAGAATATGGGAGAGCAAATTTTGGGGTACAACAACCTTCCCTTTCTATAATCTACCCCCCCTACTCAAAATCTCGAAAAAAGAATTTTTCTTTGCTTTTTTCCTTTCCAGTTGAATAAAATAAAAGTCGATGGCGACTCTTGCTTACTGCGACATTTTGCAAACACAAACGCAAAATAGAATTTTCCAAAATAGTCGGTTCTACCACTGTATCACAGAACTGGCAACTCTGCTGGGGAATAATAAGTGGGGTATACCTTAGGATCTAGTTCATCATATTTGCTTCTCTTGTTTGTTTTTGTTGCTTTACTTTTAAGGGTTTTTGTTTGGGAGTTACTATAGATCCTAACCCGTTTCTAGGGACACCTTTTAGGTAAGTAGCAATAAACTGTGAGGGAACTGTACGGCATAGACCGATACGGTTGAAGCAGTAGCTATGTTGATGTGGCACATTCGTTGGTACCAGTATCCCTTATGGAGAAACGAGGAGAATACGGGGCCGCTATGTGTGTCATTAAGCATCAAATGACTTAGAACCCTTAATCGACCAACTTGGCCATTAGGAAGTAGTGAGATAGCCGACCTCGGTGTAAAGCTGAGAACTGGTTGATACTTGATGCTACACTCATTGAGACCAAACTCTCAAGATAGTTCCGGCCGCAAGAAAAGATTGTGTGAGTGGAAACCATGACTGATGGAGGATGGTCAGTGATATTGAGAACCTCTAGAACCAGATTACTTTTGCTAGGACAGGTTGAAACCAAATGAACTTCAAGAGGGTAATACCTTTGACCCCATGCAAGCCTTAAACTTAAGGGCTTTTGTGGGACTTGTTTGCCTTTGCCATGCCTGTTATCTGCTATACCTGTTATTTGTTTTCATCATGACATCATGCATCATAACATAGCATGCATACTTCATTATACTAACCATTTCAAAGACCGAGGGAATTTATCTTTGTTATGTTTTGCAGATTATGGCTTTCGTGCGCAGAAACACCATCCGAGTTAACTTTGTGCAAATACCTGCTCAACTTAAAGAGTTAGCCTCAAGAGTGTCTGAGACTTCTATGTTCATTAAGAGGCATGGTAAGCTTCTTAGCCTGGTTACCTCAAAGCTTGATGAGCAGATGATGAGTGCGCTTTTCCAGTTCTTCGATCCTGTGCATCATTGTTTCACTTTTCCAGATTACCAGTTGGTTCCCACTTTGGAAGAGTTCTCTCACTTATTGGGTATATCCATCCTAGAGCAGATTCCTTTCACAAGTGTGGAAGAGACTCCTAGACTGGAAGACATTGCTTCATCTCTGCATCTAAAACGGGATGATGTAGTATCCAATTGGGAAACATGAAGCGGGGTCGAAGGTTTCTTAGCTAAATTTCTGATGGATCAGGCTCAACTATTATGGGATAATTTGGATTTTCAGGCCTTCGAAGACGTCTTGGCTCTCCTTATCTACGGTTTGGTTCTCTTCCCGAATCCGGATTCCTTCGTGGATGTGAATGCGGTCAAGATTTTCCTTTCTCGTAATCCTGTGCCTACTTTACTGGGTGATATCTTGTATGCCCTCTACACCTGTACTGTGAAAAGAAAAGGGACTCTTATGTGTTGCATGTCGCTGCTTTCGAGGTGGTTTATTTCGCACCTCCACAAGTCTGTGTTGAAGAATGAAGAAGGTTTAGGATGGTCTTACAGGATAATGTCACTTGCCCATACATACATTCTTTGGAGCTCCTGGGCTATGAAAGACATTGCTTTCATTGATCATTGTGGGGGATACCCTAATGTCCCTTTGCTTGGAATCAGAGGGGGTATAACCTACAGTCTTTGTCTAGCTTTACGAAAATTTGGTCGTGCTCGGAGAGATGGTCCTCATGAGCTACTTCTTACGGATATTTCATTTGACTACAAGGAGGACATTGACGAGCACCGCCGGAGGTTTATACGAGCTTGGGGCATGGTGAACAGATCTGACCCCCAAGAGCTGGGACCAATGACTTCCCTTCCTATGCAGCCTTATCTCCAATGGGTCCGAGCTCGTGCCCAGAAGCTTTGGATGCCTTATGAAGTTGTATTGCCAGTGATTGTGGAGCCCACCAATGAAGAGGGCATTCCTTACATAGTCCTTTATCCTTACATGCCAACTGATCCTGGGGCATTGCAGAGATATTGGATTCAGTTGAAAAAGGAGAGAGATACTTACCGGGAGAAGTACCATGAGCAAGAAAGGAAGATTCTGAAGCTCACTAGGCAGCTCGAGGAAGAACGAGTGATCAACGACTACTTCAGCACAAAGATGAAGCACCCATGGGATTTATGATTTTGCTTTTTCTAGTTTAGATTTTTTTCCATTTATTTCTTTGTAACGCCTCAAAGGCATTGTTGAACCTTTTTACCAGTTAATCTAATAAAGTTTTGTTTTATTTTTGGTTTGCAAATTTAAATCTCCCAAAGTCTTTGAAATCATTACATGCGCATCCCATTATCATGCACACCATTACAGGTACCATTATAGGTTTCTCATCTTCTTCGCTGTTTATTTCAGCAGAAATGTCTTCTGATCAAGCCATCAAAGATCTTTAGGCACAGAACGCCCAATTCCAACAGATGTTCTTAAGCTTGGCTAAAAGAAAGAGGATTTGAAGACCCTGATTCTGAAAGATAAGAAGAAGAAGAAGGTTGGTATTCTGAACATGGGTAGAAGATTCGGAGAAAGGATAAGACAATCAGCTGATCTGACCTCCTCATCCAAGGACGGGGAGAACCAAGAAAAGACAAAGGACCCTAGTCGGGCAGTTTCTGATAACGATACGGATTATGATGAAGAGCAATATCCTCCTGCTGAGGATAGGTACAAACAACTAGAAGACCGCCTGAGTGCTATGGAGATTCAGAAAATCCCTGGTCTGGATTTTAGAGAACTAGGATTGGTATCGGGAGTGGTGATCCCTCATAAGTTCAAAGCTCCGGTTTTTTCCAAGTACGATGGATTTTCCTGTCCAAAACTCCATCTTCGCTCGTACGTCAGGAAAATCCAACCCCACACTGCTGATAAAAATTTGTGGGTACACTTCTTTCAAGATAGTCCGTCAGGGACTCAGCTTGAATGGTTTTATCAGTTGGAAGGAGCCAATGTCCGAAACTGGGAAGACCTTGCTGTTGCTTTTTACAAATAGTATCAGTATAACGCCGACCTTGCTCCTACTCATACTCAGATTCAGGGTATGTCAATGGGTGTGTAGTGGTGAAAATCGGAGATCAAGCTATTAATTAACTTGACTCACAAAAGCAAGAGTCGCCACCGCGCTTTATTATTTCCAAGGGAAAAGGGAAAAGAGCGAAATAAAACCCTAAAATATGCAATGTAAAATAATACTTAAAAGTAATAAAAATACAATGCGTTTTTTGAAAAGAGGTCTATGGTTCGGGGGTTGGTTATACAATGGGAAGGTATTAGCACCCAATGCATCTGCGGTACTCCGCAGGAACCTTTTGAAATATCCGTTTTTGGTTAAAATTGTTTGTTTGATTAAAAGATGGGTATGGACGAGATTTTTGAAGATACGACGACCTAGTGTCGAAGTTTTGACTTAAAAGGTGTGAGTTTGAAAATGGGGTCTTTTGGGAAAATTATCTTGAGTTTAGCAAAATAGTAAACAAACAAAATATGAATGAGGGTATTCGCACGATTGGATGAGATGTGTTTGATAACATGAAGTCAACAGAGTTAAAACATTTCCCTTGGATTAAATCGAGCGAGCAAAATAAAATAGACATCAAAATATAAGCAATCAAAATTCACAAGAAAATAAATATAACGAAAACAGATTAATGACCAAGAGGCATCGAGAATTAAAATGACAAAGATATTTAAAAACAAATAAAAGAGAATGTAACAAATTATCTAAAGAACTTATCTGAACTAAATTAAAAATTTAAGAACACTTGCTAAAATAATTCTAAACTAAATTACAAGTTCTAAGGTTATAAAAATAGTTCTGAGATTATTAAATTAAATCTAAACCAAATTAAAATGTAAATTAAGTTAAAATTATAAAATTACTAAGTTAAATCTAAACTAAATAAAAATTCTAAAATTTACTTAACTAAATTAAAATTAAAATTACTACAATAATTCTAACTTTAAACTAATTAGTTCTAATTAAAAAGGAATTTTTTGTAATTTTATATGATTAAACTAATAAACCTAATATTAAATCTAATCAACTATATATTTTTAAATCTCCTAGATTAAATCTAAAACAAAACTTTAAAGTAAGTAGATTAAAACTAAATCAAATAAAAGAATAAAAGATAATGTTAAAACATAAAATATGGGGTGTGCTGATAGTATTGGAGGGTATATTGGTTAGTAAACAAGGGCTCAAAGATTGAAAAGCCCAAACTTTTATAACAATAACCTAACCTAAAAAATATAGTAATAACATATTAAAAAATAATAATCATTAAAAAGGGTGAAGAAGAAGTTACAGCAAGGGGATGAGCGCTAGCAGGGGAGAATGATGTTCGTGGGAGTATGTTTTTGATTTGGACGTCTCGTATAGCTGGATCATCACTTCCTCGTAGAGATCCTCCATGATCACTTCCAAATGTTGTCCGCCTGCTCATGTTGGCTCGCTGCACTAATCGTACAAGTGCTTGGACCACCTCTGACATTGGTGGTCGGAATTCAGGTTCCGGCTGTGCGCAAAGAGCAATAACATCAGCAAAACGTGACAGAGATTTAACAGGATATAGCCCTTTCAGTGCTGGATCAACCATTTTAGCCAACACATCAATGTCATGAAGCTGGGGCGTTGCCCATCGAACCAAAGACTGGTCTGGTCTTGCTCTTGAGCTATCAAATGGTTTGCGGCCACTGAGAAGCTCCAACATGACAACCCCAAAGCTGTAGATATCACTTTTAAAGGTATACTGACCGGATAATGCAACTTCAGGGGCATCATATCCAGATCCAACATTATGGTTTAGTATCTGCTCTGCATTTGGAATGTAGCTTGCCAATCCACAGTCTGAAAGATGAGGATTAAGCTCTGTATCAAGTGATATATTGGCTGACTTAATATTCTTATGCCCAACTGATGGAGAACAAACTTCATGCAGGTACTCTAAAGCGCGTGTTGTCCCCAAAGCTATCTTGACACGAGAATTCCATATCAATAGTTTACTGAATTCATCAGACACGTGAAGGAAGTCATGCAGTGATCCATTTTTATGAAACTCGTAAGCTAAGAGGTGTTGTCCATGCTCTGAGCAATAACCTACAAGCTCTGTTACATTTGGATGGTGTAAATGGGAGGTGATATGGGCGTGAGGAGAGAAAAGGGATTTGGGGGTTAACAACTGAGGTTGTTGTGGCAAGGTGATGATGGGAAGAAGAATTGATACGATGGCAAGTTGTTCGACGAAGGGAGTATCAGTTTTGGTAACAGAAATTAGGACGGACAGCAGGTTCGTTGGTGTTGTTGTTAAGGAGAAAGAAGCGAGATGGGAGGGTAGCAAGTGTGGAGAGATGGTGAAGGAGGTTTCGGACAGTAACAGGGGGGTGGAAGGTTGAGATGGTTTACTGCTGGATTGATGGTAGGTTAGTTGTAGAAATTGAAGATGAAGGAGGATGGGCGGAGGTTACAGAGTTGGACTGAAATTGATGGAGGATGGGTTATGGTGATGGTGATGAAAAGCGATTGGGGAGTGAAAGATGGTTAATTGAAGGAGGTGAATGGAGTTTGGCGTGGTGAGGTGTATGTTGTATGTTTGTTGTTATTTCACGGGGGGTTGATGAAAGGTGAACATAGGTGGAAAGTGTATTGGAGAAAGGAAGGTTCCTGAGTGAAGAAATTAGAGGGAGTTAGATAGAAGATGGGTTCAAATGTTCCTGTTGGTGTATTTTTTGTTGTGTATATAAGAAGAGAGGAGAGGTTACTGTGTATTGAAAGTGAGTTGTGTTTTTGGTGATTTTGTATCGATCCTCAATTTCATCCAACAGCCAATAGGAATAGAGTATTGTGTGAATAATATATTTTGTGATCAAATAGACCTTAAATGATAAAAATAACCAAAAAAACTAAATGTATTAAAATTAACTCAATTTAAAATGATTTTTTTTGAATATTTTATGAATAAAAAATAAAGACCCAAAATGACCGAAAATGATAAAAAACGGACGAAAATTTATCCGAAAAAATAAAATGAACACATTAAAATAATCTACATGTCACAAAGATTAAAGAAAAAATATTCAAGAAGTCAAAAATCAAAAATAAAATAATAATAAAAATATCAGACTAAACAGACGTTTAAGGTTAAAAACGAGACTTCGAACTGTACCGAAAAAATAAAGCGAGCATACCGTCATAATCTACGCGAAACGCAGATTCATAAAATGATCGGTAAAAGGTGAAAACTTGAAATATTTTCTCGCTAATTTCCCGCATAGTGTCGAATCGCTTTTAACAGTCTGTCTATAAAACCGAAATATTTTTATTATCGACATATAAACAACTTGGAGCAATGCAAGAAACGAGTAAAGAGATAAAAATGCATGAAGTGAAATGTCAGGTATTTTTTTAACTAAAAGACGATGCAAACTTTGGTTTAAACTGACTTTTCTGGTCAACTTAAATACGACTAATGATGCAAAATATGATGAATGAAGATATTTACTAATGATTGTGATCAAATGACAAAATATGGTATGAATGTGCGACTGAAAAAATTAGGGGCGAAATTAAGGGTGCAACGGTGTGCCTTGATGAATCAGTCTTCGAGAATCCACAATCAACCGTACTTCTGGCTTGGGAGACTCAAAACCTTAATTAAGGCGCGACACCTGATGCTCTTGATTCAGACCTATCTCTGCACATGAAACAAAGAAAACCTGAACATACACCTTTGTATGCGATTCGAAATTAGTGATACATAGGCTAAAAATGTTCAAAACACTTGACAATCTTCGCATAGTCAAAGCTCAAAGGTGAGAGGTTAAAACTGACTGTATTTCGTGACCTTGACTTATCTTTAAAAATGCAAAAAATAAAAATGGGATCTTAGGTCAAAAATTGGGGTACAACAGGGTGCAAGTGAAGGTTTTAAGGACTATGCTCAAAAGTGGAGAGACTTGGCTGGAAGAGTCCAACCCCCTTTGTCTGACAGGGAGTTGGTTGACATGTTTCTAGGGACGCTATCGGGTCCATTTTTCAATCATCTGATCAGCAGTTCATCATCTGGGTTTACTGAGTTAATTTTGACTAGAGAGAGTAGAAGCTGGTATCCGAAGTGGTAAGATACAAAAGGATACTTCATCAAGTGCAGTAAAGAAGCCTTTCACTGGTAAGAAGGAAGCTAGTGCTGTCTACGGCCCGGGGGGCCAAAGCAGACCTGAACACTGTCAAGCAGTAAATGCGGTAGTGATATCAAGACCCACAGTTGCTCCACAATGCAACAATCAACAAAGGGTGGAAAGACCACAAAGACAGTACACTCGGCTCAATATGACCTTGTCTCAAATTATACCACAATTATTGAAGACCAACCTGGTAACTCTGAGGGAATCCCCGAAGAACCCCAACACCACTTCTCCCCACTATAATCTGAATGCCCGCTGCGCCTATCACTCTGAAAGTCCAGGTCATGATACAAACAACTGTTGGGCCGTGAAAAACAAAGTGCAAGACTTGATCGAAGCCAAAGAGATTAAGTTTGACGCTCCGGAAAAGCCCAACGTAATAACTGCTCCCATGCCCAAACATGGTCATGGAGTAAATGCTATAGGCGATGATTTATTTGTGACCTCAGTGGAAGAAATTTCTACTCCTTTGATGACAGTTAAGAAGAATTTTTTGTTGGCCGGTTTATTTCTGGGTTGTGGTGAAGGTTTCCACATGTGTTCAATTCTGCCTGCTGGTTGCTACTTATTGAAATCAGGTGTTCAGCGCCTGATGGACAACAAAGAGATCCTGTTCGAAAAGACTATGATTCCGTTAGTTCCAACTAAAGATGTTGCCATCATAACCATTTTCGCCAATCCTTCCAAGGTTTCCTCGAGAAAACCTGTTAGGATTACACCCATCCCAAGAATTGCTCCATTAATAATTACTGTCCCTGGTCCTATCCCATACACTTCGGATAAGGTTGTCCCTTGGCACTATGGCGCCGATGTGTATTACCATGGAGTTAAACAAGACTTAAAAAGTGAGGAAGCTGATGTTGATGTCAGCAATATTGTCGGGGCTAGCAAGGTCACCAGAAGCGGAAGACTCTTTTCTCCTGAGATTCCCCCTCCGGCTGTCCACAAACCTGTTGTCATTCCATCTGCTAGTACATCAGTTGTTATCCCAGTTCATATTCCAGTCATCACCCCTGTCGCCGAGCCATCTGGCACTCGGGGAAAAGAAATCATAGGTGAGCCTGCCCGGACGGAGGCACCTAAGAAGATCATTGTAGAAGCCTCGAAACAAGAGATAGAAGAAATTTTAAAGATTATCAAGAAGAGCGACTACAACGTAGTCGAGCAGCTGGGGAAAACCCCGTCAAAAATCTCCGTGTTGTCTTTATTATTGTGTTCTGAAGCCCATGCAAAGGCTCTAATTTCATTCCTCAAGATTGCGCATGTTCCGTAGGAAACTTCAGTCGATCAATTAAAAGATTGTGTAGCTAGTCTGACTGCCGATAATGGGTTGGGTTTCTCAGAAGCAAATCTGACTGCTAAAGGAAGAAATCATAATGATGCTCTACACGTCTCGGTCGAGTGCAGGGGAACTACTATGGCCCATGTACTAGTGGATACCGGGTCCTGATTGAATGTTTTTCCAAAGAAAGCATTAGACCATCTGGACTGTGAAGGTTTGATTCTAAAGCCGAGAAATATTATGGTCAGGGCTTTCGACGGATAAAAAAGGATGGTGCACGGGGAGGTGGACATCCCTGTTAAAGTTGGCTCTCAGACTTTTGTACCCACCTTTTATGTGATGGATATCATACCATCATATTCTTGTTTCCTGGGTCGTCCTTGGATTCATAAGGCTGGGGCAGTGACCTCCATGCTCCATCAAATGTTGAAATATCCGGTAAAGGGGAAGATTGTCACGGTACAAGGTGAAAAGGAGTACATGGTGAGTCATCTCAATTCCTTTCGCTATCTGGAGATGGATGGGGAGTTCATCGAAACCCCTTGTCAGAACTTTGAAGAGGTCCCTCAGACTTTGGCAACAACTGAAGTTGCTACCGACAAAACTCCGATGAAGATGGCTTCTCTCAAGGATGCCAGGGCTGTAAACGAAGAAGGTGGGTGTACCAATTTGGGTCGGCTCCCTGATTTTACACACAAAACTGACAAATTTGGTTTGGGATTTACTACAGAGGCTCAAAGGGCTGTTAGGCGCGCACGGATTGGAAGACCTCCTCTGCACATCAGTAATCAGGGAGTTAATGCGGTTGAAGATGGTGAAGAAGATTTAGATATCGACAGCTGGATCTACCCTACAACCAATGGTGGATTAAAAAACTGGACGGAGAAGGACTTCATACCTGTTTCTTTTATTCCACAGTAATTGACTTTTGTTTTGAAGTTTGTAATAAATAGTTTAAAAATTTACGGCCCGGTGCCTTGCCTGAGGCACCTTGGCTTTGCTTGTGAGGGCTTATTATTTGTCATTTCATATATCATCAATAAAACATTGGACGTTTCTTGCATTACAAATTTTGCGCTCCTTGTTTTTCTTTTCTATCTCGCACTTTATCAAAAACAGCTATTCTCTTACACACACTCACGTATCATAATGCATATCCATATCCACTCTGGATCCCATTGATAACAACTCTGCTACTGCCAGTTATGACTTCGAAAATCCGATCAACCAAGCCGAGGACGAAGGTGAGGATGATTGTGAGGTGCCTGGAGAACTTATTAGACTGTTATAGCAGGAAGAGAGGGCCACACAGCCTCATGAAGAGCCAGTTGAATCAGTAAATTTGGGTACAAAGGAAGACAGGAAAGAGGTCAAGATAGGTGCGAATCTGGAGCCTAGTGTCAAGCAACGGTTGATACAGATGCTACGCGACTATGTTGAGATCTTCTCTTGGTCTTATGAAGATATGCCTGGTCTGGACACTGATATTATGGTTCACCGCCTACCGATTAAAGAAGACTGTCCTCCGGTAAAGCAGAAGGTTCGCCGTATGCGCCCTGAGATGTCTGAGAAAATCAAAGCTGAGGTCATGAAACAGTTTGACGCCAGATTTTTAGCTGTCACTTCTTATCCGCAGTGGGTTTCCAACATTGTTCTGGTTCCTAAGAAGGATGGTAAGGTACGGATGTGTGTAGACTATAGAGATCTGAACAGGGCGAGCCCCAAGGATGATTTTCCCCTTCCACACATCGATGTTCTGGTCGACAACACCGCGCAACATAAGATCTTCTCCTTTATGGATGGTTTTTCTGGTTGCAATTAGATCAAGATGGCTCCCGAAGACATGGAGAAGATGACCTTCATTACACAGTGGGGCACCTTCTGTTACAAGGTAATGCCTTTCGGGTTGAAGAATGTTGGGGCAACTTATCAGCGCGCCATGGTCGCTTTGTTCCACGGCATGATTCACCATGAGATTGAGGTTTATATTGACGACATGATTGCAAGGTCCCAGACTGAGGAAGAACACCTCGATCATCTACAGAAACTGTTTGACAGGTTGAAGATGTACAAGCTCAGGTTGAACCCAAACAAGTGCACCTTCGGGGTAAGGTCTGGTAAACTGTTGGGTTTCGTCGTCAGTGATAAGGGTATTCAGGTGGACCCTGACAAGGTAAAATCTATACAAGAGATTCCAGCTCCCCGCATAGAAAAGGAAGTTAGAGGCTTTTTGGGACGTCTGAACTACATCTCCCGATTCATTTCACATCTGACCGCTACTTGTGAGCCAATCTTCAAGTTGCTGAAGAAAGATCAAGTGGTAAAATGGAATGATGAATGTCATACCGCTTTCGAAAGGATCAATGAATACCTCTAAGAGCCACCTATTCTGATGCCTCCAGTTGAAGGAAGACCTTTGATCTTATACTTGACAGTACTAGATAATTCAATGGGGTGCATGCTGGGGCAGCATGACGAGTCTGGCCGAAAAGAACATGCTATTTACTACCTTAGCAAAAAGTTTACCGACTGTGAGACTCGATACTCACTACTCGAGAAAACTTGCTGCGCTTTGGCATGGGCTGCTCGTCGGCTGAGACAGTATATGCTGACTCACACCACCTTATTGATATCAAAGATGGACCCAATCAAGTATATCTTTGAAAAGCCTGCCTTGTCCGGAAGAATAGCAAGATGGCAGATGATCTTAATCGAGTATGATATCTAATACACAACCCAAAAAGCAATCAAGGGGAGTGTATTGGCGGATCATTTGGCGCATCAGGCCGTGGATGACTACCAATCCATGAATTTCGAGTTCCCGGATGAGAACATCATTTTGGTGATCGACTGTGAAAAACCTGGACCAGATGAAGGACCTGAGGAAGGATCCCGATGGTCTATGTATTTTGAGGGAGCATCAAACGCATTGGGAATGGCATCGGTGTTGTAGTTATATCTCCCGAGGACTGTCATACTCCGCTCACCGCCTGACTATGTTTTAACTGCACCAACAACATGGAGGAGTATGAAGCGTGCATCATGGGTCTTCGAGCTGCTATTAACCTAAGGATGAAGTTCTTGAGTGTATTAGGAGATTCTACTCTAGTGATCAGTCAGATCAAAGGCGAGTGGGATATGAAGCACCCAAATCTTATTCCTTACAAAGAGCATGTGTTGATGTTGCTCCCACACTTTGAGGAGATAACCTTTGAACACTTCCCCAGAGAATAGAATCAGTTAGCGGACGCGCTAGCT